TAACCAAGGATAGATAGGATACACAGGACCCACCCTTCAGATTGGGCAAAAAGAAGGACGCATTTGTTGGCTGNATTCTATTCTATTCTATTCTATTCTATAAAAGGGGTATGAAGATATAAGTAAATCTAAATGTATTTATAAAAAATATATTTGCAAAATCTCTTATATTCAACAACAAAAATATTCAGATAAGCAAACTATGCAAAATAGCAATTAAAATATACAAATCATATCAGATTTATAGTCTCATAGTGCAGATATATTAGAATCTGTCCTTAAATTACAGCCAACCCCATTTAAACAGTAACAGATAAAAACCTTTAGATAAATCAAACATTACTGCCACATATCTGACTCAATAAACATTTAAAGCAACTATTTTCATTAATTTCAGAGGGAACTATTCACATACTTGTATTAATATTCTGGGATAACCAAGGATAGATAGGATACACAGGACCCACCCTTCAGATTGGGCAAAAAGAAGGATGCATTTGTTGGCTGCATAACAAGGAAATTTGGAAACCGACCAGACCTCGGCACTACGCCATGATGTAATCGCCTTCAAATCTGGCCTTCTCTATATACATTCAGACTAAAACAAGGGAAAATTTTTGTTTCAACATGGAAAATTTTAAAGTTAACTGATACTTTTTCATGCTGTTTCAACTGAAGCTAATAAAACACACCTGGAGTGACATAGAAAATCATAACCAGCATTTGAAGAACAAAGCATACAAGTTATATGTAAAACATTTTTAGCAAAGCTACAGTATCAGATGTCCTTCTTGCGTAGGTAGAATGTTAAATACGGATCTAAATGCTGTAACATTATTCAGTGACATTCACTGTTGGACCTAATTATAGCCCAGTCTATGAAAACCTGGATGTGTGTTTAGATGTTCATAATATTGTGTGTTAGAGCAACCATTAGAGATTACCTCTAATTGGATCCTGGAGGTGGATTGTGAACTGGAGCACAGAGGCCTGGGTGCTTTGAGACGACCTCCTACCACTGCACGGAGTGGTGTGGGCACAACCTTTTAATCTGACAGTCTGCCAGAAAGCAATGAAAAAAGGAGATGAGGAAGAAATGATTCTGTCTATGCAGGTTTGAATCCAGAATATTTCTAGTTATATTTTGTTAGTAATCAGATGTTTCCTAAAGTTTTTTGTTTTTTTTTTACCAATGCAACATCATTTGCATTATCGCCCTATCACCAAAGAATCATTTAACAACAAAGTTCAAAATAAAAGCAATGTGTTTTAAAAAAGTCAGTACTAGAGAATACTGTAGAAACTCATTTACTGCAACAATGTCTGTGCAAAGTCTCAGTCATTAGGGTCATGGCAACCACAAAATAGGTTTGAAACAGCCGCAACCCGACTCTGGCTCAGCTTTTCTAAAAAAGTTTTATCCCTTATCCAGGACTCTTTGTCAGTTCTGTTGGCTCATACAAGAGCAGTCTGTAATTGGTGTGCTAATATTTCCCTCCTGTGCTGCGCCTTGCAGAGAGCCAGCAGCTCTGAGAAAAATTTAGCTGTACAGCTGGAGTCTGTTTCACAAAGCAGGTTTACTGAAAACTAGTGTTGTGACAATGCCATTTTTCAGCCCAGATACCGATACCTGGATGTGCAGTATTGGCCGATACAAATACTATATCGATACCATCTGTTTGAAAAATTTATGTGAGTGTGTATATATGAAAAATTGCATACTACTTGGATGCAAAATAATTGCCATCATGCCTTTACACGCTGCTGTATGCCTTTATGAAGCAAGAAAAAAGACTAATACAAAGTGAATCCAGTAGAACTTTTCATTGCCTACCTGAAATGGGTGACAACAGTTGAATAAACTTTTATCTCTCAACAGGGTATTGGTGCCCTATTTGTTGGTACTCGCCGATACCACCATTTTAGTGCTGGATCGGGGCTCCACCCGATACTGGTATTGGTGTTGGTGCAACACTACTGAAAACTAAAATTTTCAAAACTTGAAATATGGGAAAAGAGAGGGAGAGAGAGTTTCCTCAACCTCTGTTTCAGTCACCATAGTAACATTCTCCCCAGAGCTAACCTGATTGGTTGCAGGTTTTCTTCGGGAAACTCAGAGTGCCATCTGTCTCTGCTCTCCTTACAGCCAATCAAGCTATTTTATTTTCTGATTTTATCCGATACTTTGGCATAAAAAAAAGAAACAAATCATCCACTAGGTCCGCTAGACCAGCGTTTTTTATCCCTGGTCCTCAAGGCACACTGCCCTGCATGTTTTAGATGTTTCCCAGCTTTCACACACCTATTATCAATTGATAGCAGATTATCAGGCTTTGCTAAACTGCAATCATCTGAATCAGGTGTGCTGAAGCTCAGAAACATCCAAAACATTTAGAGCAGTGTGCCTTGAGGACCAGGGTTGAAAAACGCTGTGCTAGACGTATTAGTTTTGAAAAACAAACATTGCATGTCCGTTTGATGACGCTCTTATTAAAGAATGATCAGCACTTTTTTCAGATTTAAATATTTATAGGGAGAGGATTCTACAACTCAGTTGATAGGGTTTGAGATTGCTCTTGGTTTGTCTTTGGTTTGTTTAATATGAGCGAGATGTGGATCATTTTAATTTTATTTATTTATTTTTACTGAACATGAAAACCTACTGAAATTATTTTCAGATTACACATAAGTAGATTAATTAATTCTGTGGGGGGAAAGGAATTAGGATTAGGATTCATTGATAACCAAATGAGCCTACTGTCACAATCTAAAGCCATTCTGTGGGATAACGACCGTTTATTGGGATGAC